TTGAAGGTTCTCTTTATTCTCTCTTTTCAAAGTAGTAGTCAATTTTTGATTCTCTCTTTTAAACATTGTCGTAGTTGGCACCAAATATTTGCAATTTTGAAAATAGGCATCTCTCCCTCGTGACTAAGAGCGAAATGAACATTTTCTTCCCTATCAATGCCCCATGTGGGGAACATGATTGTCTGATTCATTGCCCGAGCACCACTTCATAACCTGCACTCCACGTCTCAATGACATTATGCCTGGTTTCGTCCCACGTGAGAACCTCATTTTCAAAAGATATTTTTTCCAAAGTTGAGCACATTTTGCAAACAATTTTTAGCCCAAAATAGGTAGAAAGTCCCGCACACATGTCTTTATCTAAGTAGCAAACATTATCAACTCACCAAAGAGGAAGATAGGAGTAAAATCCTCATACACTGAAAACTCTTGTAAATGCTAACTACTCCCTATAAAACACACCATATAGACTATCTAGCCATTCAAAACACATTGAGGAGGTATATGCTAGGGACAAGATGTTTGGAACCCTGCAAGTTGAAAAAATTTGGGTATATCATCAAGGTTCCAAACACAAATTCTAAGCCATTCAACACCACAAAACACAACTAATCGATAGCAAACACTCCAATACACAATCATCAACGTCTTACATTCATAATCATAGTGAGGCTACTACCAACTATGGTAAAATAATCAGTAACACTCAAACATACATAGAAATTCCCCCACACTTAAGAGACACATTGTCCTCAATGTGGGAGAATAGAGATAGTTTCACAAATCGTTACCATGGGATGTTTTACTGGGTTGATGTAGGTGTACAGCTGTATGTCTTGGTCTTCTTAGTTTTTATAGAATGGTAAAGTCCATTAGCAAAAGAGAAAAATGAAGGTTATGGGGCACAAAATAACATAGATAAAAAAGATATAAATGTTTAATACTACTACTACTAGGTAATTAAAAGTAGGTTATCTCTAGTTCAGTTGATCGTTGAGGTTGTCGGGTGGTAAGTCGGTTGATGTGTCGCCTCTTCCTCTTGCATGTCTTCTTCTTGTCCTTCCTCGCCACCCACATTCATTGTTTCTCTCGTTGCACGCTGGTTGGTTGGCATCGGAAGACGGAACACCGTACCTTCCAATCCAATGTATTCAATGTAGTTAAATGCGAGTTTCTATGTAGAAACGTTTTGGTGAACTAGAAGCGTAAAATCGTAAGTTATTAAGTTTTAAAGCGGAGTTTTTAACTACATAAGTTATAAAAATTGAGATTTTGTGTAGAAGCGTGTTAGTGAACTAGAAACATAAAATCGTAAGTTTTTAAGCGCGATTTTGATTACATTCTTCGTGAGTGGGAAGGGAAACCTTGGAGTCCCCATATACCTTCCTTTCTTGGGAGAAAGACCTAGATCCTTGAATTTAGGGTTTCGAAATAAATAGGAGTGGTCCTAGTGTCCATTCAAAATTTAATCGCCCCAAACCCAACCCCGAATTAACGGGCGAGTCGAGTGATATATGCTCCACTGTGTAACGCAACAAGTCGATGATCTTTTTCACATCTCTTCGGTGCGGATAGAATCGCTAAATCGAGGTGTAAGACCTGAGGAGTATGAATGATATGAAGGAATGTAATGTCTCGGGCAGTCAGATTACCCTTGTTCTTATACTTTCCACCCACGGACCTAGTAACCACTTGGTGGATCAACCTCCATTCCGTCTTCATCTCACTAGCCTTTGAATATTTGACATTCCATAGCCGGTTGCCGGTATCCTAGACTTCGGATTCGTAAAATGCCTTGAAGTAAGGAAAATCGCTTTCTCTAGTCAAGGTAGCGGAGTCGTCCAATGAGTCCACAAAGTCCGCCGGACATATATCTAAAGCTGATATGAACTCCCGGATCGACATCTGGCGCTGTTCTCCTCCGAGTTCGAACTCAATGTTGTTCTCTAGATCTGTAGCACCTCTGAGATCTTAAATAGTAAGGGTGTTAAGAAACTCCAATACAAGCACTCTATAAATAATCTCTTACAAGCTCAACAACTTCAACCACTTTGGTTTGTTGATTCTTACCCGTATGGCTTCCCCAATCTCGAGTTGGTCGAAGGGTGTCCAGTTGTGACAAGTGCTCTCGCCTAAGGGAAGGTCTTGGAGACATATGAGTTTGTTGGTGAAGCGCTTCGGAATAGCATCTAGAAAGGCATGAGTAAAATGTTCCAAAGCAACTCTAGTTCATTCATGTTCCACTAGTTGATTTACAAGAGGTTCCTCCAAAGGTGGTGGTTGATGTGGAAGAGGGTTTTCAATTTCAAATTCTTTTTTGTCGGGATTTACTCCTTTTCTTCTTTGAACAATGGCGGGTGCTAAGAGAGTTGGAGTTCCTCATGCATTGGGAGTTCTCTTCTCGGACCATGCCCGTATGCTTGCTTGATACCCTACAAAAGAAGTGTAGGACAAAAGGTACTTGAACACCATCGATCCACTCACAACTACAATTGAACTTCTAATGCTATCCTGGACATCATCCATGCACCCCCCACACGTAAGTGAGGCAATGTACTAAAAAGGGAAAAACATAGATGGAGAGGATTAGATAAGTCGACATAAATGACACACATTCTTTACAAAGAAGCATAAGTATTCATGCAAGGTTCATCAATAAATATACAAGTTCAATTGTAAAGTATAAGATCAAAGAAAATAAAGTTATGTGCTTAGGGAATTTCTTCGAACACTTGGTGGGCAGACTTGAAAAACCCTAAAAATCATGAAAAATTGGCCCAACAAGGTATCCCAACGCACATAGGATGTTAATAAAGCATACAAATCAATCCTATTGTCAAAAGAAATTATGTCATAGAATATGAAAGTACCAAAGCTCACACTGCACTCAAACACATTTTGACCTAGCTAAGGTACCAAAGTGATAGAAAAATGGAAAATAGTACCTTAACTTGTTTGGGGACATGTTATAATTCAAGAGATTAAACAATACTTCAATAATGATACTTAAAAAAATGAAGTGAAATAAAGTATGGTTAAAAAGGGTTCAAAAGAGCGTTGGGAACATGGTTTTTAGAAAGTCATTGGGGAAGAGAGCACATGAATGAAGAGTGCATCTCCCCTTAAATAGGCATGGACAAGATCGCGGTCGGGGTCAAAAGATCTCGACCGTGATCTTTGGCTTTGCAAAGATAAATTATCACCATACTTAATGATTGCAAACATCTAAATGCAACATTCATTCAAATAATTGAAACAAGGCATGAGCTAAGGATCTATCATTCATCATCTAAGCTAATCAATTTATAACTTTAACACCTTATTTAAAAGAAAAGATAAAGATACACAAACCGAAATTGTTGGGTGCTTCTAGCTTTCGACAGGAAATGTGGTGGGCTTGCCCCTGCTAAATTTTGTGGTATTCTTCAAGCGTTTCCTTGAACGTGATTTCGTGAGGCAGAGAGTGGTGAAGCTTGTGCTTGTCTTGTGGCATATCTGGAATAGCAGAAACTATGTGTTTTTTTAGGAGAAGTAAGTGGTGATTCATTTGTTGGTGAAGCAATTTGAGGAGCAAGTGACGGATTGAATAAGCCTTTCCGAATGAGGGTCTAGGAGTAGGACCTTGAGTAAGCGTCATGACCGGGTTGGAGTTCCATGAGGGAATCAATTACAGATAGTATGTTTCTCTAATGGAGTTGTTTATAGGGAGTTCTCACTTGACAATGGGTATGGTTGTCCATGATGGGACGGGGGAAGTGATTTTGGCAAGGGGTGTCATTTATGAAGGGTTAGAGGAGTCATTGCTAGTAGAGCTGGTCGCACTCAGCAATGCATTAGTGCATTCAAAATGGGTTTTCAAGCGATGGTATCTGAAGGTGAAGTGAAGGTGGTTATTGATAATGTGGGGGAGTAACACAAGATCATAGCAGAGGGGCCATCTATTAAGATCTTCATCGACTACTTTTGGAGTTCCCGGAGATGACAATATGGTTTGTTGGCAGACAGAACAATAAGGGCATAAGGTAGCCCATAAAGTGGCTAAAAAAGTCTTACCATGGTTTCCTATAATTGTTAATGGTTTTGATTTAGCAGGGGTGGGCAACGGGAAACATGTATTTGGATATACCCATCTTTTTTTTTAGATTACGGGTACCCAAATACCCGTAATATTTATAACTGGATGAGACTTGGGATTGAAATTTTCAACATTGGGTACCCGGAAGTTACCCGCTAATACCCGTTTGGGTAGTATGGGTACCCGTTATAGCCAATACATAGCCATTAGCAATGATTTTCCATTCAACACAGTGTACAGTGTTTGAAACAACCCCAACATAGGGGTTCCCATTTAAAGATACAACCCTTATCCTAGGAAATGACATTCTTATATCCTTCAAATAAGTGAAGCTTGAACAAAAATGCACCTTCATGTTCAAGACCATTGATCGCTGTAAAAGGAGAGGAGGGTCTCGTCTACAACTTGTTTGGTAATGACATCTCTTCTTGCTGCAGGTGGCGGCATTTCTTCTTGCTCCAGGTGGCGGTTGATTAGTTATTTTCACGGTGCAAGTTTTTTTTATGTTTATCTAATTTTGTTACTCTTCAACGGGTATATATGGCTAGTTTGGGTACCCGTTACCTGTTCCGTACGGATTCAGGACATGAGATAGACTATTCCATGAGAATGAATACCGTTTTAAATGAGATGAGTACTCGTCCCTTCCTGTTTTCCACGCCTGACTTCTGAGTCCTTAACTTTATATCTAATTGCAAGTTTGGTCACTGGATTTACAAAAAAGGTTCACGTTTGGTCACTAAAAATATTTAAATCCATTCGTGGTCACTAAAATTAGTTCAATAGTTCGACTTTGGTCACTCTCCGTCCAAGTCCGTTAACTTTCGCTGATGTGGCAGTCAACTTTAAAAGTTGACCGTTAAGTGACTGACGTGACAATTATAAAATAATAAAATAAATAAAATTTAATATTTTACTATTTCCACATCATTTTCACAATAAATAAATAATAATAAAAGAAAAAATCAGAAAATAAGGTAAAATAACATCCCTTCACCTCCTCTCTTCTCCACCGGATCTTCCTTCACCCAAAATTCAACTTCCCAATCACTGTCTTCCTCCTCCTCATCCACTCAATTCCTTCTTTTTCCTTCTCTCCTTCGGTATATCTCACTCATCACTCCAAGGCCCCAACCCTACCACTAATTCACCGGCATTTACCAAATAGAAATCCCCCAAACCCACCCCTTTCCATCCCCCTCCTCTCTTCCAATTTACAGAACCAAAAAGAGAAACCTAGGTTGAGACAAACACCCACATCTCTTCAATCCTACCTCTCTCTGCATCTTGATTCATACCAAAACAAGTGGCACCAGCGCCAAATAGACCTCCGTCGATTCCTTCTTGCAAGTGATTAAAAATGCGATGATCGCGGCGAAGAACGGCTTAGTTGCTCCAATGACATGATTGAAGGAGACCGGGAGGTAGTGGAGGGAGGTGTTGTCTCAAAAGAAGAGAAGCAGAAGATGGCAGAGAGGGCGAAGATCTCCAAGAACTGGCGGCGGGTTCCGGGCTATGCCGACATTGAGATCTGTTCGTCAAGGGGAATCGGGGTTGTTGTTATTGTTGTTGAGGGGTTACCTTTGGAACAGACCTTCAAATCTGGGGCCGAGGGTTTAGTGCGGATTCTGGGAGGAATATCCGGATGGAGAAGAGAGGAGGTGAAGGGATCTTTGGCCGGAAAACCGTCGATCAGAATGCAAGAGAGACTAGAAGTATTTTACCTTATTTTCTGGGTTTTATTTATTTTTATTTTTTTATTTATTGTGAAAATGATGTGGAATAGTAAAATATTTTATTTTAATTATTTATTATTTTTTAATTGCCACATCAGTCATTTAACGGTCAACTTTTAAAGTTGACTGCCACATCAGCGAAAGTTAACGGATTTGGACGGAGAGTGACCGAACTCGAACTATTGAACTAAATTTAGTGACCACAAATGGATTTAAATATTTTTAGTGACCAAACGTGAACCTTTTTTGTAAAGCCAGTGACCAAACTTGTAATTAATCCTAATAAATAAACGTTTCCATAGAACAAACGAACCGATCATATCGGCCCGAAGTTAAGCGTGGTATTCTTGTATAAGCCCAACTTTGTTGATTCTATGGTGAAAAGTGGCCCAAACTAATATAAGCCTAGACTACATTTCTTTTTATCTGCTGTCCCGAACCCGAAGGGACAGGCGGACAACCCAGACCACTTTTCATTCTAACCGACATTGCGTTTTTGTATGTACTTTTGGGGCTTCGACTGCTCTGATCTCTCCCTTACTTTCTTTCTCCCTCGTAAAGAGATTAGGGTTCTTGATTTCTCCCGAATCAATCTGCCATTACTTGGCAGAGGACTCTCTGCTGTGATTTTACCCTCTCGCCATCGTCTGCTGTGGTGTTTCATTCTTATCCGGCTCCTCAGCGCTATCTCGTTTTAATTATAAGCGTTGAATTCAGTTTCTCTTCTCCGATTGATTGGTTCGCCGGATAAACCTAAAAGTCTGGGGCAGAAGCTTCTTCGTGTGATTCTGTGGTGAAAAATGGTTAGTTGAATCGTTTTTTTGCTTCTCTTTCTTTATTGGTGGTTTCGTCGGTTTAACTTACGGCAGAGCTATGGTTATTGTCAAGCAACCGAAACTAACCATCCTTTTGGTTTCTGTCTTTTTTTTTTCCTGGCTCCGTAGGCAACACTAGCAGATTCTTTCCTTGCAGACCTTGAAGAATTATCTGACAATGAGCTTGAAACTATCGTGAGTGAACTTCTCTCTATCTTCTCTGTTCATAGGAGTTTCAATTTCCATTGGAGCATGTTTTCCGTCTTTCGGTATTGCGACTCTCCTTGAAATGGATTCTGTTTACTATTTATAAAGCATGTATTCAGCTACCTGTTAGTCCTAGATAGTCCAATTTCTAGCGTTGATGGCTTCATAAGAGAAGTTCCATCTTTGGGGTTATCTTTATTTTGTTATTATGCAAAGCTCATTGACTTATAGATGTGTTCCGTGGCTTTTGTATTTTTTTAAAGAACAACCTCTTCTGATATCTAACTTCACCGAATGTTGTTGTCTTTAATTAGGAAGAAGAAGATGGCGATGTGGCCAACATGGAAGAAGATGTTGATGGGGATTTGGCAGACATCGAAGCTCTCAATTATGACGATCTGGATTCCGTGTCGAAACTCCAGAAGACACAGAGATACAATGATATCATGCAGAAAGTAGAAGAATCAATGGTGAAAGGTTCTTTCACCACAGACGAGGGGATGGTCTTGGAAGATGATCCTGAATACCAGCTGATTGTGGATTGTAATGCGTTGTCCGTGGACATCGAGAATGAGATTGTTATTATCCACAATTTTATTCGTGAAAAGTATCGGTTGAAGTTCCCCGAGCTGGAGTCGCTTGTGCACCATCCGATTGACTATGCTCGTGTGGTGAAGCGAATTGCTAATGAGATGGATTTGACACTCGTTGATTTAGAAGGCCTTCTGCCCTCGGCTATCATCATGGTTGTTTCAGTGACTGCATCAACCACAAGTGGTAAACCTCTTCCCGAGGATGTGCTCCAAAAGACTATTGATGCCTGTGATCGAGCTCTCACTCTGGATTCTTCAAAGAAAAAGGTTCTTGATTTTGTGGAGAGTAGAATGGGGTACATTGCACCAAATCTTTCAGCTATTGTTGGGAGTGCTGTGGCAGCAAAGCTAATGGGCACCGCTGGTGGTCTCTCTTCGCTGGCCAAGATGCCTGCTTGTAATGTTCAACTTCTTGGAGCCAAAAAGAAAAACCTTGCAGGCTTTTCTACTGCAACATCTCAATTTCGTGTGGGCTATATTGAGCAAACTGAGATATTTCAGAGCACACCACCATCGCTGAGGATGCGTGCTTGCCGATTGTTGGCTTCTAAATCTACTCTTGCAGCCCGTGTAGATTCCACCAGAGGAGACCCTTCTGGAAGTGTTGGAAGAAAACTCCGTGAAGAAGTTAGCAAAAAAATTGAGAAGTGGCAAGAGCCGCCTCCTGCCAAGCAGCCTAAGCCACTTCCAGTTCCTGATTCCGAACCTAAGAAAAAGAGAGGAGGGCGTCGTCTTAGGAAGATGAAGGAGAGGTAATTATACTGCTTGTATTTTATCCTCAATTGTTTTGTCCATACGGTGGGTCTGTTCCTGATTTTTAACATCATCAGTTTCTTATTGCAGATATGCAGTGACAGACATGCGGAAGCTTGCTAACAGGATGCAGTTTGGGATTCCTGAAGAGAGTTCTCTAGGTAAATAATCTCTTATCCTTGACGACTCGACGTATTTTATAATATTTGTTGATACGACATCCTAGAAGCTGGATCACTTTTCTTTGGATGGAAGCTAGGATCTTTAGTGCCTTTTTGATTTGTCTTTAAAGTCAGGGAAGTAAATTCCTGGCTTTTGTTATGGTGCACCAATACCACTCGTTATATGGGGAAGTACGTTCCTGACTTTTGGTATGGTGCTTGGCCATAGGCGATGGGCTAGGTGAAGGATATGGAATGCTTGGTCAGGCTGGAAGTGGAAAGCTTCGAGTAGCAGCTGGGCAGAGCAAACTCGCCGCGAAAGTTGCTAAGAAGTAAGCCTCTATAGTTGTCTCCTCAAGTTTACTGCTAATGGGATATCACTCACTGGAAGCTCCTCCTCTCACTAGTCTAACTTTGTACCATAACCTTGGTTTCAGATTCAAGGAGAGGCAGTTTGGCAGCGGTGGTGCTACTTCCGGGCTGACGTCGAGCCTGGCATTCACTCCAGTGCAGGTTTGTTTTTACATTCGCGCTTAATCTCCGTTAGCTGGGATGATAGTACCTTGTCAACGAAGGTGAGTTTATTATGGTGATGCTAACAATTGCCGATTGCATTTTGACAGGGGATCGAGCTGAGCAATCCACAAGCTCATGCACATCAACTGGGCAGTGGAATCCAAAGTACCTACTTCTCCGAAACCGGCACGTTTTCGAGGATCAAGAGGACATGACATGCACCGAGGCGCTGGATATCAACGTTCACAATGTGTAAGATGGATAGGAGGCTGGCCTGAGCCTGAGAGCCTTGACATCAATCTTTATGGAGGAATACAACCGACTACCTTTCTTCCTAAGGATTGAGATGTAATGAAGTTGAAACTTGAAATGGTTTTGATTTCACGAGCCGCAACAGGCAAGACACGGAACTATGTGCTGGCCCAGCATGACGAATTTTACGGGGCGTAATGGGTCTGCGACTCTAGATCTATTGTTTCTTTTTTGATCGTTTTTATTATGAAAACAAAAAGTGAAAAAAGGTTTCTTGATATGCAAAATAAGTGTACGTGCTAACTCGTTGCTCAATTGGCTTTGGGACTATCCGTATGTCGCCATGATTGAATTATCAAACGGGTAAATTGCAAGTTTGGTCACTAGAATAGTAGAATTACTATACAAGTTTACCCGAGTGATTTAGGCAGACCACTGATCCCATAAGCTAATAAACTCCTCATCCTTGATGCTCCACGATCACATTAGAGTGGTTACAATACTCAGATTATGATTCAATTATGCTTTATTGAGTTCTTCTCCCCAATCTCAATATTTTTTCTTGTTTTTATTCCTCATGATTGATCATTGATTTAGCCTAAGTATGACAAGAATATTCACTTATATATTATAGATAAGCAATGTAAGAAAACTGATTTTCTAAGATATTTTTCAGGATTAATGGCATGGTTGGTTACTGAGATTACAAAAAAAGTTCAAGTTTGGTCACTCAAAATATTTAAATTCATTGGTGGTACTTCAGTTTACTGAAAGCGTTCACGTTTGGTCACTCTCCGTCCAACTCCGTTAACTTTTGGTACGTGGCGGTCAACTCTAAAAATTGACTGTTAAATGTGTGACGTGGCAATTTAAAAATAATAATTTTAATAAAATTAAATTTTTTAAAATTGTCATCTCATTTCCACCTTATTATCACTTTTATTTAAAAAAAACCCCTAATTTCTTCTATTCCCATTACCATGGTTCATAGGTAAGAAACCAACCTTAACTAACAAGACGCGTTTTGGGGTGAAATGAATGAGTTCTTGTGAGAACTGTGAAGTTAAACGTGCTCAGCGTGGAGCACTAAAAGGATGGGTGACCTCATTTTGGGAATCTTGGCCCAAAACCGACAATATCTTTTGTTTAGTGTGACCAGGTGAACAAATTTAAGACATTCAAAATCTGGAAAATAAATTTGTTGTACATATATGACGTTTTAATACGTTTAGACTATTGTATGTCAGGAGCACGCTAAATTTATCGTACGCTCATTGAGTATTTCTATTTAGATCATGAATTAACTGGATTTTGGAAATTATACTATAACCTAGCCTTGGGTAAAATACCTCGTGTGTCACTTAAGTTTGAGAATTGGGGTAGACATACCACTTAAGTTTGAATAGGGCGTCGGGCACCACTGAACTCTATTATATGTGCACCCAGTACCACTTAAATTTACAGCTAAGTGCATTTCGTTAAAGTTGACAGAATATTCTTGGACTATTCCATTTTCTAAATTTCATAATTGGTCCTTCTACTTTTCTTATTGTAAGAAAATCATTTGGACTTAACAAACATCATTTTTTATTGTTTAGCTAGAATCCTCTTTTGAATACTTGATACTAAACCAATTTTTGCAAATTTAGAATCAATTATCATTATAATTATTTTGAATTATCATTAAGTGTTCTAATAATTGAATTATTTATGAATGTTGTAACAAACCAATGTTGTAGCTTTTATAGTCATATTTTCTTTTCTACAATTTTTACCGAATGTTGTAGCTTTTATATTTTATTTATTACTTGATTACTTTTGTAACACCCTCGTTCTTTCGGTGCTAAAGTTGTTATCTTTTCATAAGTAATGCCATGGCAAACTCAATTCCTCGTTTATCGGTTCAAAGTCTGAAGTAAATAAAATGTACTCACTTAGTGAGTCCGGAGGATTTTGCTTTGTGGTTGGGTTGAGAAGATAACTCATCTAGACATGTTAAGTGTGACGATATGTATGTGTATAAATTCATTTGTAAGACCATAGGAAATGACTAAGAGAAACTCTTAAATTGACATATAAGCTTGTGTTAGGTACATGTTATGCTCGAGAAGGGAACCAAATTGAAAGTATAAAAGAGTAGGTCTTAAAAGAAATTAGAAGAGCACTAAATCATATACGCGTTTCATTTAACTTCAAGATTTCGATCTCTATAGCTAATATGAAAGTCCCCATCAAAACCTCTCGCATGTTCTTGTAAGTAGGGGTAGCTCAAATTTAAACTCACTTTGACTAAGGGGTACTGGATTTTCTAGAGAAGAGAATTGGCCAGGGAAATTAATGGCCTTGTCCCATTTCGATTTCCACATCCATGCGCTTCTCTGCACACAAACATCCACCACCTCTCAACTAGAAATCATTGTTTACAACCACGTGGGCTCTAGGTGGCGGAAACTAGATGATCCAGAGAAGAATCATTTTATTGGGAAAGAGTGGTGATTCCATTCTCACCTCTTTTGGAGGCTCAAATAAGGAAATAAGGAAAAGGAGATACCATTTCCATAATCTGAAAGCCACTCTTAGCAAAGTCTCTTCCGCCATTCTCATCACCATTTTATAGCTTTTAGAGAGTACATCAAGGGGAGGGGTTTAACACAGGGATTGTGATCATATCAGGTGCGGCGATCTCCTTTTCTAGTTAAATTTGTAAGGTTTACGGTGAAAGAGTGACATAGGTGCTAAGAGATTATAATGTTGAGAGGATTTAACTACTCTATCTTGAAATCTCTGATGCATGCGTAGAACCCGCTTAAGTTTGCATGCTTTTTATTTAGACTGCACGAGTATATGCATGGGTTAACTTGTTAGCTAAAGTCATAGGGGGATAGGTAAGACAGGGGTGCGGTTCCTTTGAAACTTTGGGTGGAAATTGATATTTTAACAAGTATATGTACCTAAACATAAATACATGCATATGTATATATATGTTTCTTCCTAGGATTTTGAGTATGGCAAAAAGGGCTCTAAGAGCCGTGAGTCTAACTAAGAGAAGAAAACACTCAATTATTATGGGTGGAATGGTGCACGATTGATGCATCCTTACTTAATATTATAGTTATTCAAAAGTAAAATAGTGCCACATCAGCACTTCAAATGCTCTCAGCCCTCCCCGTCATCCTTAATTTATTTTCCTTATAAATTGGAAATCTTGGTTTCATTTTGCCTTCCTTTGCGCAGCAGAAACATCCCCATTTATTGGCAATTATTGTAGGAAATGCTCCAGCATTTAACATTTTGTCAAATTTGTCAAATCGATTTATATTGTTGTGTCATTTTAATATGTGGTTCAACCAATGGTACAACCGGTTTGCACCCGTTCATGCCGGTTTAATAGAATATGTACAAATTTGAAAAACCATTAACATCAAATGAATTTAAGCAAATATAAAAAATATTTGAAGATAATTTACTTATATTCTATATCCATATTTAGATAAAATACAACATTCCAAAGAAAATAATAAATATAATATACAAAATTTAACGTCAAGACGCAAACTTTTATACCTAAATTCAACAAATAATATCAACATTTAACTTTTAAATTCGTGAAATTAATCACAAATTATTTTTTTCCCTATTAAGTTCACTATAGTGGTGTAATTGTATTTATAGGTCGAAAATCGATTATACATATTATACTGGTGGTATTCAGACCGATTTCATGGCCGACATCGATTGAACTAGGTTCATCCGACGGTCATTCCACGGGCGTGACAACCATGCATTTTTGCCATTTCTTTCCCATAAAAGAGGATCGTTGTACCAATATTCTGGTACCTGAAAGGTAATTGAAGCTACCAGAACGTGGAAATGTTATATATCATGGATTATAGTCTAGACAATTTCAAAAACTAATTTTCAATCAATATAGCAGGTTGCAACTATTCACTTGCTAAATTAAATGCTAAGCTAAACGTATACATAGAAAGATAAAAATAATGATTGCCAAAAATAAAATAAAATAAAAAAGTTATTGTCCATTGCAACGAAAAAAGTATATTGTTGGTACATATTTTTTTAGGAGATGTTGGTACATATTGAATATGCTCATGATATACAATTGTATATTTCTTTTGTTTCCATGGTTGAAATTCAAATAATTTTTTAATAACCTATTTTTATCAATTGGATTGTATCTTCTTCAATTTAAGCCGTATTTTAACAATTATATATAGACAAATGAATTGACTGTGATCTACAAAAGACTATCTATTTATATATATTTGGTTAAAATTTTCCAATCGTGTATACCACCATGATATATATTTTTAAATTTTCATAACACCATGATATATACACCTTCATGTATGTTCTTTTTTTCCAAAATATATCACAGTAATGTCATTTTGTAGAGTATATTTATTTAATTTTTAAGCAAAAAATACGAGAAATTAAAGGACAACCACTATGATGCACGATAATTCGTACACCATAAAAATTACTTAAATATGTATATACGTTCTTTTTTCAAAATATATAACAATGAATGTCATTACCTAGAGTATATTTTTTATCATTTTATGCAACATATATGAAATCCAAGTTCAAACGAATAAAATATCATCCGTTCAAATTAATGTGAGAATGCTTATGCATTTGTGTTTAATTTTAGAGTTATGCACTTAAAGTAGAGGTGGGGTGTCTCTATAACTAATGGTTTTATATATTATTATTATTATTATTAAAAGTAATGCACAATTATATATGTATATATTGGTATACTCCTTGAATATATTCTCTTGATATGAAATTGTCTTTCCCTTTCATTGATCAAAACGATGTTTATTGTTTAGGTGCTTATTTACCAAACATGTGATTTTTTCGCTCTTGGACCTCATTGAAATACATTTTAGTGTTGGGCTGATGTAATGTCAAATAATCGAAGTATTTCCACTCTTCAAATGAGTTGCACAGATCCAGGGTAAGCAAAATCAATGGAACGATATGTACAACATACGAAGTTGAAAATTGTTGGACAACCAAAGAGCATATGATCGTGAATATGTTCTTCAAAATGAGGATAAAGTATTGATTCTTATTGCTTTACATGATACTATATCCTAAGCCACAGTCAAACTAAATGTAATCGTCCTCCTATCAGACAAATTTAAAATAATAAACAATCGTAATAAAATATATACAAAAAGAAAATAGTAACCTATCACTATTGAAAAAATTAAGGGTGAGGTAGGAGGTTCAAGTCCTGGAGAAGAGGAAGGACTCGATGTGAGGTGAGTTGACTGTAGGGCGCTGCTTGATGCAATTGGGTCAACTACGTTTAGTGAAGCGGAAGCTGAAGTTGATCGTGAGATGAGCCTCAAGCCCCAAAGGAAGGGCACTCACAAAATATCTTGCTGCGCGAGAATCAGGTCTGATACAAGAAATAATAAAAACATGTCGCCCATCGGGCGGGCACAAAACTAGTATATGTATAATTGTGGCCATGAATTATAATGAAAGGGGATTTGTTTATGCTTAAAGAATTGGGAGTAGGTAGGGTCATATGCATGGAAGTGTTTATGTGTATAATTAAACATGTTGGTATTTAAGGTTAATTTATGGAGATGAATTAAAAAGGATTATTATGATTTGAAGATATAATAGTCATCTGTACTTCATTAAGAAAGAAGAGGTGTGTAATGAGCAAGTGTATTGTCTCTATGCTTATGAGT